AATTTAACTGTGATGATAAAATCTGTCTGGAAATGTTTGGTTTAGGTACCCTGAATGTACTTTAAAAAAGTCCTTGAATTACCTTTTGAAAAGTTGTATGAATGCTGCTAAAGTCTGAATGATTGATATTGAACATTTAATAGTCTTCCCACATAATCCTTTCCTATCTGACCATTATTTAATAACTTTTGAATTCATACTATTAGATTATAAGCCATTAGGCAAAACTTCCTACAGCAGATGTCTATCTGACAGTGCTGTAGTTAAATTTAAGGAGGAGAGTCCTTCAGTGTTTAATTCAATGCCATGTCTGAATTTAACAGAGTCCTATAACGACTTTAGTCCCTCTGAAATTGATAATCTTGTTGATAGTGCTGCAGGCTCACTATGAAGAACATTAGATTCTATCGCTCCTATAAAAAGGAAATTATTAAAACATAGGAGACTAGCACCATGGAACAACCACCAAACCCGCTAATTAAAGCAAAAAGCTAGGAAATCTGAAAGGAAATGGCGCTCTTCCAAACTATCAGAATATCGCTCAATTTGGCAAGATAATCTTAAAACCTATAGAAAGGCCCTCCATAATGCCAGAGGAGCCTATTACTCAGCACTAATAGAAGAAAATAAGAATAACCCTAGGTTCCTCTTCAGCACTGTAGCCAGGCTGACAGAGAGCCACAGCTCTATTGAGCCACATATCCCCATAAATTTAAGTAGCAACGACTTTATGAGCTTTTTTTATAATAAAATTATTACTATTAGAGAGAAAATTAATCACCAACTGCCATCAACAGTTATCAGTGGCTCTCCAAGTTCAGGAACTTTAACTAATGTAAACTTAGATATATATTTAGAATGTTTTTCTGCTATCGATCTTCATCAGTTAACTTCAATAATTTCTACATCGAAGCCATCAACCTGATCAGTCTGTTGGACCCAATCCCAACTAGGCTGCTTAAAGAAGTCGTACCCTTAATTGGCACTTCTTTACTGGATATGATTAATCTTTCTTTATTATCAGGATATGTACCACAGTCCTTTAAAGTAGCTGTAATCTTCAAAAAATACTACAGTTAGTCATGGAGTTCTACAAGGTTCTGTACTTGGACCAATTCTATTTACTTTGTATATGCTCCCTTTAGGCAAAATTATTTGGAATCACTCCATTAACTTTCACTGTTATGCAGATGATACGCAGTTATATCTATCAATCAAGCCCGATGAAATTAATCAATTATCTAAATTACAAACATGTCTTAAGGACATAAAATCCTGGATGAGCTGCAATTTTCTAATGTTAAACTCAGAAAAAAACGAAATTCTTGTACTTGGCCCCAAAAATCTTAGAGACTCACTGTCTAAAGATATAGTTACTTAGATGGCATTACCTTGGCCTCTAGCACCACTGTCAGGAATCTTGGAGTTATCTTTGGTCAGAATTTGTCATTTAATTCCCACATTAAGCAGACCTCTAGGACTGCCTTCTTTCATTTACGCAAATTACAAAAATTAGACACATCCTATCACAGACAGATGCAGAAAAACTAATCCATGCATTTGTTACTTCAAGGCTGGATTACTGCAGCTCTTTATTATCAGGTTGCCCCAATAAGTCCATTAAAACGCTCCAATTAATTCAAAACGTGCAGCACGAGTACTGACAGGAACTAGAAAAAGAGATCACATCTCTCCTGTACTAGCTTCTCTGCACTGGCTCCCTGTAAAATTCAGAATAGAATTTAAAATTCTCCTCCTCATCTACAAAGCTCTTCATGGTCAGGCCCCTTCATATCTTAAAGAGCTCATAGTACCCTATTACCCCTCTAGAACACTGCATTCTCTGAATGCTGGGCTACTTGTGGTTCCTATAGTCTCCAAAAGTAGAACAGGAGCCAGAGCCTTCAGTTACCAAGCTCCTCTCCTGTGGAACCAGCTTCCAGTTGTGGTTCGGGAGGCAGACACCCTCACCACATTCAAGAGTAGGCTTAAGACATTCCTCTTTGATAAAGCTTATAGTTAGGGCTGGATCAGGTGAGTCCTGAACCATCCCTTAGTTATGCTGCTATAGGCCTAGAGTATCGGGGGATTTCCCATGGTGCACTGAGCTCCTCTCTCTTTCTGCACTCATTCATGTTCCATTAATGCATGTTACTAACTTCACTTCTGTCTGTCCGTCTCTCTCTCTCTCACCCCAACTGGTCAAGACAGACGACCACCCACCTAGAGCCGAAGGATCTGTCCTAGGTTTCTGCCTTTTAACAGGCAGTTTTTCCTTGCCCTTGTTGCCAAGTGCTTGCTCATGTTGGTTCTGTTGAGTCTCTGTAAATAATGTTTTAAAGAGTTCGGTCTAGACCTGCTCTATTTGAAAAGCTTCTGTTATGAATTGGCGCTATACAAACTTTTTTTGTATTTCTGAATTGAATTGAATTGAATTGAATGCAGAACTTGTGTTTGTATATATTAACATGGACATTGGCTAAAATATTTCCATAGCATATATTTAATGTATTTTATTTGATCTCATTTTGTGACTGTGCACTTGGTAGGCAGAAGATGAAGCCCTCATCCATGATCCACCGAGGAGGCCACAGTGGGAATATCAAACAAAGATAAACCATTGATAAATCAGAGGACATTGGGATTTTCCTTGAAGGCCAGATGGTGCTGAAAGACCTGGATAACATTGCATTAGCTACTGCCATGTTGTGTGGCCAAATGTATGCTTGGAATCTTAACTACCTTCCTGAAGTCAAATACACTTTCGAAGCACTCCAGAAAGTTGTCATGGAGCTGGAAGGCAACACTCTCTCTGCGAAAGCCCAAGTTCTCAAACACAGATCCTATCAGTGAGCTGTTGACATTATATGGCAAGGCGGACACAACACATTTTTCCCTGTTTGCCTCTTGAAATAGGGACTGCTATTGTTCTTCCATTGCATTGATGCTCCATGAACTTTTCTTTACTGTAAAATATGGTATTGGTGAGAACGCAACCCATTATTACTCTTTAATTCCAGAGCCTTTTGACACGGTTATGAATCATTCATTATTTACTATTTTCAAACACTTGATCTATTTCTGTTAGGAGAATCATTGTGTGCTTTTCAGATTCCTACTCTAGTTGATGTCCATTGTGCTCTCCTGACTTACGGTCATGGCTTCACAAATTCCAAGTCAGAACTAATTGCACTACATTACTCTGATATTTAACCTATTTAAACAGTCTCTATACCCTAAGACATTTCAAGCTGGTTTAACTTTGACATGCATGGTCTCCTGCCTCCTTGAAAATACAACTTAGAGATTAAGATTACTTTTGTTACTTAAGTAAAGTTAATCAAATTTAACAATTCTAGTTGTCTCAATAGTTTAAGTTGTCAAACTTTATTGAACTAAATCACTTGTTTTAACTTGATACTGTGAGTTAAAACTAATATTTTACATTATCAATGCAAGAAAACTAAAATCAAAATTATTATTGCAATGTAGTATACAGGATTTAAATTCCAAATTTGTTTAAATTTAAATGTACAAGCAAGCTTACCTTATAGTTGCTTGTTTTGTTGAACACCACACTGAATTCTTGCCAGTTCATCTGTTCAAAAATACACCCAAATAGCTGTGTTTAACTCAGTCCAACATATATCAAAAACCTCAACATTAATATACCAGCCATAATCCACATCAGATGGGGTCTTGAATTGCTTGTGCCAGTATGCTGGAGAAATGTATAAGCATAATCACTTCAGTTAACTGATAAACAGAAGGTTGGGTTGTGCACAGACAGGGAGGGTGGGGTGGGCTTGTACAATGAGGCATATGTGAGACAATGGTAAATGGTAAATGGACCTGTACTTGTATAGCTCTTTCTAGTCTTCCGACCACTCAAAGCGCTTTTACACTACATGCCACATTTACCCTTTCACACACATTCACTCAGTGATGGCAAAGTCCATCGAACAGAAACTAACATTCATACACACTCACACACCGATGCATGGCATCGGGGGCAATTTGGGGTTCAGTATCTTGCTCAAGGATACTTCGACATGTGGCACCAGGAGCCGGGGATCGAACCCACAATCTGATTAAGGAACGACCCGCTCTGCCTCTGAGCCACAGCCGCCCACAATGACAACAGGTTCATTACATCTTGAAATTAACAAAGTTGCAGATTTATACATTTTAAACATGCCTTAACATCAAAACAGTTGTGTGTTTTTACACATGGGCCCCACATAAACCGATCAGCCGTAACATTCTGACCACCTGGGCATCCTGGTGGTCAGAATGTTATGTAGCCCCATACCAGCAAACTGTGTTCTGACACCTTTTCAGCAGTTTGAGCTACAGTTGCTCGTCTGTTGGATCAGACCCCACCGGCCTAATATAACACTTGCTGCATAATATATCCCCCCCACTGACAGGTGCCATGATAACCAGATAATCAGTATTATTCACTGCACCTGTCAGTGCTCATAATGTTATGGTTTTATATGTTGACAACTGGGGTGCTGGGGAAATAGGGCAAGGGTTGTACAGTGAGGCAAATTGTGAGATAACAGGTTCATAGACGGTCAATATGAACAGGAACTATGTTGTACATTGAAAAGACCAAAAAAGCATCTGCTGGTTCCCATACACTTTAAAAATGGGAAAGAGTCTTATTTCTGAGCTGTGGATCCTTGCTGAGCATTGGTCTAGTTTAATGTTCATGATGACCCTCTGAAGGAACTCAAGGAGGAGTACCACATCGAGGGTTTCTCCATGTGCCTGAAGACATCTTTACTGACATCTCAAAATTCAATTCAATTCAATTCAATTCAATTTTATTTGTAAAGCGCCAATTCATAACAGAAGTTATCTCAGGACACTTTTCAAATAGAGCAGGTCTAGACCGAACTCTTTAACATTAATTACAGACACCCAACAGTACCACCATGAGCAAACACTTGGTGACAAGGGCAAGGAAAAACTGCCTGTTAAAAGGCAGAAACCTAGGACAGATCCTTCGGCTCTAGGTGGGTGGTCGTCTGTCTCGACCAGTTGGGGTGAGAGAGAGAGAGACAGAGAGAGAGAGAGAGAGAGAGAGAGAGAGAGAGACAGACAGACAGACAGACAGACAGACAGACAGACAGACAGGTGTACAGCAACAACAGTATTGGCAATGGCAATCTAGCAGGACCATGGCAGGAGGCTCCACCAGGATCCATGAGAACCTGCAAGACGAGAAAGCACAAGAACTCCGGGGAAGAAGTGAAGTTAGTAACATGCATTAATGGAACATGGATGAGTGCAGAAAGAGAGAGGAAGAGAGGAGCTCAGTGCACCATGGGAAATCCCCCGATACTCTAGGCCTATAGCAGCATAACTAAGAGATGGTTCAGGACTCACCTGATCCAGCCCTAACTATAAGCTTTATCAAAGAGGAATGTCTTAAGCCTACTCTTGAATGTGGTGAGGGTGTCTGCCTCCCGAACCACAACTGGAAGCTGGTTCCACAGGAGAGGAGCTTGGTAACTGAAGGCTCTGGCTCCTGTTCTACTTTTAGAGACTATAGGAACCACAAGTAGCCCAGCATTCAGAGAACGTAGTGTTCTAGTGGGGTAATAGGGTACTATGAGCTCTTTAAGATATGAAGGAGCCTGACCATGAAGAGCTTTGTAAGTGAGGAGGAGAATTTTAAATTCTATTCTACATTTTACAGGGAGCCAGTGCAGAGAAGCTAGTACAGGAGATATGTGATTTCTTTTTCTAGTTCCTGTCAGGACTCGTGCTGCAGCATTTTGAATTAATTAAGTTGAAATGTCAAATGTAAATGGACTCTACTCATAGCACTTTCTAGTCTTCCGACCACTTAAGGGGGTTTATACTACATTCACCCATTCACAGAGAGATGGCAAAGTCTACCACAAACAGAAACTAACAACAATGCAAAGCATCAGGAGCAATTTTGAGTTCAGTATTTTGCTCAAAAACGCTTTTACATGCAGCAGGACAATAACATGACATTTAAGATAATTATTTTTAAATCCAAACCTTCATGTCCTCTCTGGTGGGCCAAAAGAATCGGTTCACTTGCACCTGAACCTCATCAATGGCGGTGAAGGTACCTGGGGAGAGGTCTCTGTCATATTTTCTGATGCATCACTTTTGAAGGAATCCTGGATCCTATTCCACCCCTTCCGTGATGGTGTGCATGGTGTTGGGACTGCAGGGTCCCTCCTACTTTTTATATAGGCTGTTTCACAGCTGGCAATTAAAAGTATATATTAGTTTTATTTACAATGGTTCCTGTCACTGGTGTCAAACTGGGTTATTGTAGTCTGGCCCTCTCTCTCCTTATCTCACTCATCTCATGATATTTACCATTTACCACATTAATTCAGCAGGTGAAGAGTTAAAGTTATTGAACTAATAAAATAGTGTTTGTGATGACTGACCTACATAATGGGTATGCCACACTGGGTTGCACAGTGTTAATGTCTTTTGGTGTGCATTGTGTAGATATATATTTGTTTTGGCTTTCTGCCTTGTGTGAGGTTATGAGGCTAAAATGATTAGATATAAATTATCCAGTTTAATTGGTTACAAGTACATCATGATTGTAACTATTTATGGTTTATCAGTGAAGTGTAGTAAAAATGACACTGAAGAATGGAGTCTCTAAATGGTGACAAACATTACACAAATAAAAAGTGACTAAGAGCTGTCTCATATGAACGGGTTGAATGAAAGAGCATCAGTAGATCCATGTATGCGCTCTTTCTCACTCCAGAGTCGTCGAGTGCTGCAACTTGGTCAGTAGCCCTGCTCTTCAAAATATAATGTTGTAGGTATCCCTCTAGTGCTATTTCTAGATGTGCAGGGCTGTAGAAGTGCAGGGCAACCAACAATAAATGTCTCTCCTTGCAGTTTTCTGTTGTAAATGTAAAAACTCTACACACTTTCATTGATTTAACTGATCATTATATATACAGAAAAAAGACGAGTAAAGCCTATATAATACCTGAGGCTCAAAATCAGTGCGTCAGGTAACTTTGGTCGGGCTGTGAATGAGCTAAAAATAAAGGGCATGTAGAGCTTTTTATGCAGTCAGTAAATTTTTTTTATAAAATAGACATACCAATTAGAATTTGGACTAAAATATTTGACAGTGTAATCCAACATATTGCCCTTTTTGGGAGTGAAATGTGGGGTCCACTCAGTAATCAGGAGTAGATGCTTATCTGGAATATCGGACAAATCAAACCAAAACTCAAAACAAACTGAATTGTTATCTGGCCCTAAACGATGAATAAAAGTGAGTATCTCTTTGCTGTCAGAGATACAAAGCAGAGACAGATCCTGAGTGACCACAGTCTTGCCTTAGAGAAAGGACGACACAAGAAGTCCTGGCTACCAACAGAGGAAAGAGTCTGTGGTCACTGAACAACAGCTTAGGTTGAGACAGAGATGCACTTTCTCTTAAAATGTGAAAAATATGACAGCATCAGATTGGAATACTCAATAATTCTAAACTTTAAAGAGTTACGTATTTTCTTGTTGTATTCTTTAATATATTATTATTATTATTATTGTTATTGTTGTTGTTATCAGAACTGTGTTTATTGTTGTTTTCTAATAATTAACACTTTGGCAAAAGTTGTTTCTAACATTCATGCCATTAAAAGCAGATTAAATTGAAAATTGAAGAAAATTGTTAATAACTTGTTATGGCCGCCGCTGACTGTCGTTTAGTGTATATTCATTGTGGTGTTTCATGTGTGATTTCCTGTTGAGGGTTGGTCCTTCTGGAGCAGAGACCGCCTACTTCCTGGTTGCTGTCCCCTGGCATCTGTGATTGGTGTGGCTGCGATTCCACCGACGCTACCAATCAGGAGTCTTCAATCAACCCCAGCTGCACTTAAATAGCTTGTGTGTCCACAGTTCAGGGCGGCTGTGAACTAGTGATCAGTTCGCCTCGCTGTTGGTTGCACACCATTGTGTTAGTTTAGAGTGTTTGTATTTCTTAGTATTGCCTGGCTGTTGTCTGAGTGGATTCAGCCAGTGCCTTTGTAATCTTTGTGACTTCTTTAGTTTGTATAGTGTACCAAGAGTTGGACACTCTTTTGTTTGAGACCTTTTAAATTGCAGAATAACTGCTAGTTTGTTTTTTGTTCACTAGTTTGTAAGCTTATGGGTGCTGATCTCCTTTTGTTTAGTGTCATTCAGTCATCTTCATTTCGTGTACTAGTTATTTTACAGCACCTGTATAGCCTCTCTTTTGTTATATTTCATTGTGCAAGCCCACTCTCCTTAGTTAATTAAACACCTGATTTTAACCTGAACCTGTCAATTGTCGCATTCCATCTCTTTTCCAATTGTATGTTACTGCTCTCCAAATCGAGCCGGGTCGTAACAAACTTAAATAAAAGTAGTACTAGTAGTTATATTCCCTGACTTTCTCTCAGTAACCCCAACTGTGACTGACTGCCTGTGCCCCTGAAGCCATTACATGGAGGACTAAGCAAATTCAAATCTAGAGAGCACAGAGCTCTTGCAAGCATGGAAACAAGACTCTGGAAAAGCTTATAATATCATGTATGGCTGATTCCATTAGTAAAATTTTTTTGTATACTTTGGCCTTTTTGTTATCTGTATTTATTGTCCTATCCTTTTAGATACAGATTATATATATATATATAATCTATCTATCTATCTCCTATTTTGTACTTATTTTCAGTGTGTATTTTATCAATTGTAAACCATTTTATAGAAATAATCACATGTTCTGTAAATGCTCAAAATCTGATTCTGTTATTTCATAATAGATCCCTCAATGATTTATTACAGCTTCCTCACAACTTGAACAGCAATGGAGGTGGATTCATATTTATTCAGGACAGATGAAAGAGGGAGGGAACTATGAAGGGCTGTGCCCCCTCTGAAGCCAAAATCCAAATTCTCATTGATCCCAGTTTAAACACCTCTTTATGAAATGATTGCTATTCCTCCAAATGCTCATTTTGCCAGTGGGGACTCTATTCAAACTGAATAATACTGCATTATGGATGCACAACACTGACTTCCAAGAATTGTAGGACAACACACACATACAAACACACAGCCGCACACATACTCTCTGTCTCTCTGTCTCTCAGTGACAGCCTCCTGTCTGCAGGCTGGGTGTTAAGACACGGCAAGTGGCCTTCTGTGATTGATTTCCATGGCTGTAAGAGTGAGGGAGGGCCAATTGATTGTGTCATTGGCTGGTAAGCATGGGAAGGGCAGAGGGAGACATCACACATGCTTCATGTTCATTGATCTGACCTCTGAGACAAATTAATTTCTCTCTCTGCTCGGCGTTGTGCTGCTAACTCCTCTGGCTCATCAGTGGGAATGGATTATCTCTCGGACCACCAAACAGGGTCCGTGATTCTCTTTATTAGATGATGAATGCCCTTGTAGATAAGATCTCAGAGTCCAGGACCCTTCAGTGATCTCATCTTCTTCTAAGACCTGCCTGTTATAATTCAACAGCTTCTTCAAGTGCTACATTTGCTTTCAGTAATATGTTTAAGACATATAAACAAGATGAAAATATTTTGTTAAAGTCTTGATTTTTCATAAATTCTGTCCCACAGTCCACCTTAGAGCTGCAGTCGGTAATTTTCTTTTCATATTTGCTGAAACTTTCACTATATCCTGACACATGAGAATCTGGTTCCTCTGGCTCCTCCTAGTGCTCCTAATGGCATTAACAAGAATCAACTTGGCCTGACTGAAAACAACCAATCAGAGCCAAGAAAGATAGTTGATTGTTGCATTTGATTCCCAAGGAGTCAAATACATGCTGGGAATGAGACTCAACAATCGTAAATTGATGCATAACACAGGGGCATGATTCACTACTCAGATGTAGTAGCTCTTTACTGTAGAAGTGGTTTTATTCCCTGAGAGTGTTTTTGGAAGAAAAAGGTCACAGCCTTGTTGAACTGAACAACCCTGAGTGGTTGGCAAACCTCATGTTTTTAGTTTTTTAGCAAAGAAAACTCGGAGTGCTACAACACCTTTCTAGTCCTCCGACCACTCAAAGCACTTTACACGACATGTTAAGCTTACCTATTCACACACTGATAGAAGAGTGCCATTCAAGGTGCCAACTGCTCATCAGTAAGGAATCCTATTCACACACAATCACATCCAGATGGCACAGCATCGCCAGAAATTCAGTGTTCTGTATCTCACTGAAGGGGCCTCTACAAGCAGCAGGTGGATCGAACCACCAACGATGCTATACACATCCAAAATCTGACATTATCTCCAATTTCCAAACGCCTACATTTCTGGGAAAATGCTTGAATGTGATCACATGATTTAACCAGTACTTTTGCTGCCATGGAAGGACACAAACCTGCTCTCAAACTTCTCTCTGTTGATGTGAAAGGAGTACAGGAGGACGTGCAGTTGGAGATTATTGAAATGCAATGAGATGATCATCACCAGCAGCTCCCACTGAGAGTTGTACAGGGCTTTGGAAAGGCCAGATTTTACCACATGAGCCACCATACCTAAAGGATGCTTAATACATATGTGAGCAAACATTTTCTTTTATGACACTGACCAAGAGCAGACTGAGGTCCAAGATGATTAGCAGTTACCTCCATGATGTACTTTGAATCTTTACTACAAGAGTCCAAGGTCCATCATTAGTGTTCCCATTAGGAATGATATTTACTGTTGATGATAAACTGCAGAATTAGGTGTACAACGCAAAGTGCTTGAGACTCACTCGTTAAGATAGTCTTTTAAATTTAAAGGCTCATAGCCCAGGACTAAAGACATTACTCTCCATGTGGCCCCAGGCATGACAAGTTTGGGTCCCCTGCCTGATGGATTGGAAAACTCGTACTTCTAATCATAACTACAGAAAGTAGAAAAATATGTTTCAACTTATAGCTGCATCTCGCAGCCTTCATCAGCAGATGGAGTTGTTGTCATGGGGATGGTTCAGTTGCCATGGTGTCACCATCGTATCACATGATAATAGGTGGTAACAGGTGTTGGTGTATGTGGGGAGATGGTAACCTGTCTCCATTCAGCGATGGTCTCTGGTGATGTTAATGTCCTCCTCGATCTTTTTCCGACCGTCCACTGACTGGTCGATGATTTTTAAAAATATATATTTTTTGGCTTTATGACAAAGCTGTACATTCAGATGCTGCGGCTGGTAGGCTAGTTCCTTCAAACTTCTTGTTTTTCGCTGTTTTCGGCATTATTGCTGAAACACATATTGCTTATGACAGAAATAGCCTACAGTCATCAGAAAAGGAAACATGGGGTTAAAAAACAGCAGACTTTTTGATGTTTCACCCAGCCTGATGGGTAAGACTGGCTCACCACTGTGTGAGCCTTAGGAGGAAGGGGGAAGAGATGCTGGCCCAGTTTGGATTTAAGGATGCTCCTGGCTAATGTCTGGATTAAGGAAAACAATGGGAAATCAGAGACTGTTGTGTCCACATATTTTCAGAGATGTGCTCCATCAACATCCTGGATTCTGGATACTAATTCAAAACATTTACTGGAGAATTGTTTCTTGGTTATAACTGTATATGTTGTTTCATTATATCCAGCAATTAGGGAAAAATACTTCCAGTCAGTAACCATTACAAGGCAATATGGTAAATGGCAAATGGACCTGTACTTCTGGACCTTTCTAGTCTTCCGACAAGCGCTTCTACACTACGTGCCACATTCACCCTTTCACACACATTCACTCAGTGATGGCAAAGTCCATCAAACAGAAACTAACGCTTTCATACACATTCACACACTGACGCAAAGCATCAGGAGCAATTCGGGGTTCAATATTTTGAACATGGTGGGAGGAGCCAGTGATTGAACCAAAAACCTTGCGATTAGTGGACGACCCACTCTGCCTCTAAGCCACAGCCTCCCAATAAAGCACCATGAGAAAATAAATGCAGTGGTGTTTTCAGAAAAGCTTTTAAAAGAGTGAAAAAAGATAATCAACAGGACTTTTTAATCTTACAGTGTGAAACCACAAATTAAAAAGGTGTGTAGAGTTGAGTCAGATGGTTTGCACGCCACTGCTTCCCAGAAAACATCTCAATAATTAACAGTAGTTTTATCTAAACCTTCTTTCTGAGGCCGTTTCTGGTCTAATCTGAGGGAGGCAGAACAGCACAGCTGCTGCCAGATGGTTTAGGGCATGGACCCAGACTCTCAGTACTTTGTTTCTATTACTACCACACTCCAGCAGCCCCAGGGGTGCTTCTGTGGCAGCTTGCTGCAGCCCTGGAACAAGGCCTTGGAGACTCCAGGACCCAGACCAATTCATCAACCACCCTTCTCCTCATGTATCTCGTGCTGAGGACTGACTGAGCCTGTCGTCACAGCAGCCCTTAACAACCCTGCTCTCTAATGTCCCCATGCAAAAGATACTCTCTGGAAATAACTCAGCACCCTCACAGGGCTTTATTACCTACCAGCTGACACACACAGAGCCGGCAGGATGATCAGTGAGAGGCATAGAGGCACAGAGTCACCTTTTGGGTTTGTTAAAGGGGAACTTCGGCAGATTTTTACCCTAGTCTT